TTCCCTTTTAGCAACTCTCCTCTGTTTTCTTATATGAAGTAAAATTGCCGATGATTCACACCCTTGTTGTGCTGCCTAGACTTAAAATTGTTACTGTGGCACCACTTTTCTTTTTAAGTTCCTGTGTAAGCTGTAGAAACTTATCTGTTTTCATTGCTTTTCTTCTTTTTTATAATGAGAAGGTAAGAGGCAAAAAAAAAATCTGGATACTCCTGTACTCCCATTTCCCTAGAATATCATGCTTTTAAAGCCTGCCACTGCTTTGCTTTGGATTACGATTCCTCATCATTAGTCTTCCATTAGTTTGCAAGGTATGCTCATTTGACATTTTATCTATGCACGCACCCAAAGCACCTGAACAAAACAAGCAGTGGGTTGTTTGATAAGTCAAATTAACCTTTTGAATGGATCTGAATGTAAAATTCAACAACAGTATGTATATAGATAAATTTGGCCTCTGAGGACACGCTGACCTTATTTTTTAAGCATTCAACCATCACACTTGATGGAGCTAGAATTCCCTACCGTCATGCCATTCTTTCAACATCTTTCATCATGTGGCTTTTTTTCCAGGTAACTTTATTTTTAGCTGTTTTGCTTGAAAGGCTTAAGACCATACACAGCAAAAAAAGTTCTCATTTTACACCTCACTGCCTCTGTTCTTGTGTATTTATGTTATTTATTTGATCCTAATCTCAGACCAACTTATTGTCCAATTCCTTTTTGCAATTAAATAAGTAAAGAGTAGAAGACACTGTAGGGGAGTGCAATAGCTCAGAGGTTAAGATGCTGAGTTGCAGACCGGAAGGTTGGTAGCTCAGCAGTTCAAGACCCAAGTGCCGCGTGACACAGTGAGCTCCCATCTCTGACCCCAGCTCCTGCCAGCCTAGCAGTTTGAAAGCAAGAAATTGCAAGTAGATAAATAGGTACTGCTTCAGTGAGAAGGTAACAGTATTCTGTGCACCTCGGCATTTAGTCATGCTGGCCACATGACCATGGAGAAGTCTTCGGACACCGCTGGCTCTTCTGCTTGGAAACAGAGATGAACACTGCCTCCTAGAGTCAGATTTGAGTGGCTTTCAAGCAAGGCAAACCTTTACCTTTAAAAGACACTGTGCCTTTAAAGTAAAGCTACCTGGATGAATAAATTCTATCCCTGGCAATGCTGTTGACTCCACTGGACCACCAAAGGAAGAGTTTAGTACACAGAGGCCTTACTGAAGTATTAATGCTGTTACCTGGAGGCCACCAAAAGCTATTTCTTTATTTGATGTGGTGGGCCAACATTTGAAAACCTCTTGCCAACCTCAGGCCAATAACAGGTTTTGACCTGACAACCAAAGGAATGTTACACAGGGATTTACCCTGTATGCCACCCACGGTGGAACTCTGGCCAAAGGAGGGGAACTGCCAGCATTTTTATCCCAACAGCATCCTGAACAGCCTACTCTCACCAAGGCTTGGAAGCAGGGCTGGCCACAGTTAGTACTTGGATGGGAAGACTGGGGATACTATGCAGAGAAAACAATGGCAAACCATCTCTGCTTATCTCTTGCTTTGATAACCCCATTGTCCTGGGGTTACCATGAGTCAGTTGTGACTTGACAGCACATGGTTATTAGACTAGAGAAGGTCAGCTGCCAGTCCACAACACCTAAAACCTTGCAGATCAGTCTTGCTTACTAGCCTGAGCATCTAGAAGATTCTGTTCTTGCTGGCCCTTAATGGTTACGGCGACTACTTTTTCCTTGTCTTGCCCTAAACTCAATACAATCCAAGTCTGAGAAGAGACAGCCGAATTATGCAGCAGCCTATATTGTGATGCACTTGCATAGGTCTGCTGGACTTGGACCACTGATCTGAACCAGCAAGGCACCTCTTATGTCTCTATGCTAATGGTGACACTGGCATGGAGATCCTGTGCCATTGGGGCTGATAATACGCACAATCCTGTCAGCTCCTTATCCTTATTTAGATAGCACCTTGTACCTTTCATGAACACAATAGTGAATGCTGCTATCTGGAAATATTCCATATTTATCGGAAATGGAAGCAAAAGACATAAGCAGGTTCTCTTTTTGCCATTTTTCTATTCTCCATCATAAACTTCCAAGGCTGATTTCATCAACAGATTTGGGGGGGGAAATGCATGGATTTCTATGTCTATTTTGACCCTTGTATTATCTTTAACAGTCCTTCACTTAGGCAAGTCCTAATAAATGATGATTTCAAATTAGCCTATATTATTTAAAAATTATACCAGTTCTACATATATAAAGAAATTGCCACAATAATTTGTCCTGGAAAGAACAGTGGGGACAAAATAAGTATCATGTAGGAGAATCTGTCTTTGGATTTCCTGATGTTCTGAATTAATTTTACTGGAAAGCAACGTCTGGGGACTGCTAAATAGATCATAACAGCAGCTCTGGAGAGGTATTTAACCATTCCCCTTTACCACAGTATTTCATAAATCCCACCCTCTCCACAAAGCTGTTGTTAGCTTCACTGGGAAAAAAGACAGATGATTTGCCTCGTTTTCCCAATAAAGCTATCCACTGTGTGGTATAGTGGTTAGGGTGTTGAACTAGGATGTGGGAGATGGAGGACTGAAGCCCACTGCCACTGAAGCTTGCTGGGTGAGCTTGGGCCAGTGACAACTTAACTTACCTCGCAAGATTGTCATGAGGATAAGATAAAAAGGGGAAAGTGTCGTATGCCACTTGGAGTCTCCATTGGGGAGAAAGGTGAGATATAAATGAAGTAAATAAATATCAGCAGCTTCAGAGGTGTGTTTTAGATAAGAAAAATGGGGCAGGTGGAAAGGGTTAAATACCTTTCCATCTTGTCGCTTCCAAACATCTGGAGTTCTGATAATGGTTCTTCCATGGCTCTTTCCCAAGTTTTGGCACTCATTAAACATACCCATCCTGAAGTTATATTTCCAGTTAATAAGGCCAAGCAAACTAGCTTTCAAGAATAGGCATGAAGAAAGCTAAGTTTAAATGACAAGTGAAAATTATAAGAGCAAACCTTTTTACTCTGTTGCTGTCAGCTACGCTGCCATGGGGGTTGGGGAGCTCGGTCTGTGTCTGGTTAATTGCTACTGCATTCCTTTCTGTGTTTTTTCTGCTTTGCGCCGCAATGCTTATCTATACAGATGTGCAGGAGGGAGTTATATTGTCTGGGTTTTTCCTAGGTGCCGTGGGAGAGTGTTGGTTCTCAGCTTTAACTATGTAACGTTCTCCAAGCTTTATCCCGCGCACGGGAGGGTGCCTAATTGGCCAGTGTGCTGGGGGGGGGGTGCATACGAATACCCTATATCCTATTATGCCCATAGGGCCGCCATCGTTCTTAACAGTGCTTATGTTACTGCATCTATAGCTCTGCAATAAAAGTATTACCATTCCTGAATGCGTGTACTTCGTTGTTGGCTGTGGGTTCTGACAGTTGCAGCCAAAACAACTGTCTTGTGGCTCCTTAAAGACTAGAAATGTTTTGTGGCATAAGCATTTGCGCCAAAACATATGACAGAGACCACAGCCCTCTTGTGAGATGTAAATTGCAATTGTTATTGCAATTGTAATTTAGATTGGGGCCATGGAGGAAGGGAAGGAGGGATTTCACCCTTCACAACCCAGTCAATTTCAGTAATTGAAACTGGGATCCCAGTTACTGTTATTGGCCATCTCAATTGTTCATTAAAACATGAAAATTGTAGGAAGAACTATCACAAAGGAAAGCAATTGAGAGGAATGTATTTCTTTGTCAGCACATTATTTTAAGGAAACCCAACATAACAAGATAAGCCAAATATATATATTATGCTCAAGCCTGTTGCCACCAGTTCTGAGAAAAGTGTCATCTAAACAGATTTTGCAGCACTGTCAGTATTACGTAAGATGTTTACATTAGAATATTTTCAGATACGAGTTCCAGGTATGTATAAGACTTGGTAATTTGTTGTATTGCCTACCAAAGGCATGTATATGTGTTTGTATGAGAGAGACAAAATATACTTGGTGCGTGTGAGAAAAAGTATATATGTGAGAATGGGGATCCAGGTACATACTTCCACCAATTCTAAACCGGGCAGTCTGATCCCCTTACCTTAGAAGATTTCACATTGCTGACCAACCTCAAGATTACCATTTACTATTCTTCAGCAATTCTTGACAAATTTAAAAAACTTTGCATGCTAAAAGATGCTGGTACACACAAAGGCATCTGAGGCCCAATTCATTATGTTCTCCCCCCACACACACACACAGAAAGGTTGTTTCTGATGTCACAGTCAGTCAAACAACTGCATTATCCATGTGAAAAGTATTAGCAAACCAGATTTGAAGAAATACAGTTTAAAATATTACCATTCCACTTGCACAAGCCAGGCATTTTCCTCAAAGTGTTTGTCGTTGCATATAATTACTCTGTGAATAAACATTGCCTTTTGATGGTGATGGTGGTGATGGTGACCTTTCTTTTTGTCCCCAAGCTAAGCTTATAAATGGAGAAAAAGAGAGAAGTAATAGATGTTTGTATCCTAAGCTACTCACACTGTATCACTGGGTAGGTCCTCCTTTGAAGGCAGATGGTTGGCGTCAACACAAGGGAAGCCAACAAAAGAGAGAATGGATGGTTCTGTACACTTTTCTGTTGAGTTACAAAGGCTGACGGTTACTGACTTGCTCTCTGAGTTAACAAAGTAGGTGGCTGTTCCTCTGAGCAAGTTCTGAGAAGCTCTTTTTCCTGCCTCCATGCCTTATAAAACACTAATCCTACAAGGTGTCACCAGATATATATATATATATATTTAAAAAATCAAATGAAACCAACATGAAATTAGGGTTGATCAGCAACAATAAGAAGCTTCCTTAGGGTATTTTTGCAAGGAAGTAGGTAGGACCAAGTGTCTTTTAAAGCACAGTTACAATTGCATATGGGAGTGGGGAATAAGAAAGACAGTAAGGTTTAATCTTTCTGCTTCTTTGTTATTCTAGGGACCTGAAACTGGACAATATTCTTCTGGATGCAGAAGGTCACTGTAAACTGGCTGACTTTGGAATGTGTAAAGAAGGGATCTTGAATGGAGTAACTACTACTACCTTTTGTGGAACACCAGATTACATTGCTCCAGAGGTATCACACATTGTATTTAAATGCATGTGGAAGTACTTTTACAGTACATTTGTAGGAAAGATCAGTTCATATCCTGTGGCATTGCTGCCAGATTCCTTCCACATGGTAATCTTGTACATGTTGTAGACTTTGTAACGGTAGCCCCACAGGGCCCAGGATAATACAAGTCTTCACCACATGATATTGTAGCAATTCCCATAATTTCTGCAACATACTTTAATGTTTTAGGGATTATAGGAATTGATACAATTCCATGTTCAGCTTCTGCTTGATGTATTGTTAGTTAAATCAGTACACATGTGAAGAGTCCATTCTGCTGAGAACTGGGGTGAGAAGAAAAGCTGATCCAGGGCAAAGGATTCTCAAGGTGAAGGAAAAATCCAAACTGAAACCAGCTGTGTCATTAGGGATCCAAGGCAAGGGATTCAGTGACAGGGTGAAAGTTTGGGAAATAGGCCAACCATGAAGATGGGAAAGGAGGTCAAGGTGGAAGGATGAGGTGCAGGAGGGTCACATCTAGGTAGAAATAGAAGTTGAAATATGGGCATACAGCAGGATGATTTAGGTGGACTGATTCAGTTAACTGAGAGGCAGGCTGGCCTGGGCTGCTTTGACAAAGGCTGAGCAGTGGCTTGATGACCTTCCCTAGGCTAGCAGTTGAATGACTGAGGAAGTCTGTAAAGTGAAGAGGGTTCTGGCCGCCCCACTTCCAGCCCTCATTCAGCCAGGAGGAGGCAGGAGAAGAGGGAGGGTAAGTTGCTTCCTCCCCGCCTCTCCCCACCCCTGCCTGCCTGGGGCCAGGGAGGGCCTTGGCGGGGGTTAATCGCACTCCCGCCGGCCTTGCAGGTCCACCGCCGGGCCCCTGATGTCAGGGGGTGTGGCATAAGCTAATGAGTTATGCTAATGAGTTCCCCTAGCTCTTTTCTACAAAATGACCCCTGTTGATAGCAAATAGGATTATTTTATCCAGGCCGCTGGCAGCTAACTCAGAGGAACTTTAGAGGTGTGCAAATACAGGAGATTGGGGGTTAGAGTTGCCGATTCCCCTCAGCTTGCTGGTGGGGGGATTTGGGGGGGCATTCCGAGGATGGGTGGGGACATTGCATGATGCCCCTGATGTGATGATGTCATGCGAAAGTGACATCATTATATCAGGGACATTGTGCAGTGGCACCCTGCATTTTGGGCAACACTCTATGGATTATTTTGGCCTAAAACATAGAGTTTTGCCCCAAAAGCAGAGCATGGCTGCACAACATCCTGGCGTGATGATGTCCCTTCGTGCGGTGATGTCCCTGTCTGGGGGCAGGGTTTCCCCCGATGGCCAGCTGGCCGGCAGCAGGCAGAAGCCCAAAAAATCAGGGGAACCACCACCTAGACCAGGGGTCTGGCAACCCTACTGGGGGGGTAGCAGCCTTGTTTGCAACAACTGGGGCAGGGCTTCCCCTGACGGCGAGCTGGCTGGCAGCAGGCAGAAGCCCAAAAAATCAGGGGAACCGCCACCTAGACCGGGGGTCTGGCAACCCTACTGGGGGGGTAGCAGCCTTGTTTGCAACAACAGGAAATTTTCTGTAGGGTATAAGCATTCCTGAGTCAGAAAAGAAATTGGTCATTGCCATCACATGTGCAAACCAGCCCAATTATTAAATGTGTTTCAAATAAACTTTGAACTAAATGAAACATTCCAATAGCTATGCCATAAAAAAATAATTCTAAACTGTTATTCCAGCATTTAGCTCTTTTCTGTAACATGTATCTATTATGCCTATCCATGTTCACATCCATATGGCAGCAGGATGAAGCTGCCTTTTCCTACTAACATTTCTTCTGTATGTCTCTGTGGACCAACTACACTTTTTCTAGTTGCTCACTTGCTTAAGGAGGCCTATTTAGCATCTGCTAAAGCCAATTCCTTTTCTATGGAGGCTCCCATCTTGTGAAGCAAGTACCCCAAGTGAGGGAGGCATCAACTTTAGAAGTTTACAGGAGGCACTACAAGATTGCTTTATTTGCATGGCTTTTGAATGGGGTTTAAGCTAGCATTTTCCTGGGAAGAACAGTAAATGCTTATTTTGTGTATTTGTGTAATTGTAAGCTGCTTTGGGCCAAAAGGGAAAGGCAGAGCATAAATATGTAAATAGAAAAGATCAATCATCCCTTGTTGGCTTGGTAGAGTGTACTGTTTACATAGACATAGAGGACAAGGTATGCTAAGTATATGTTACAATGGATTTCTGAAGAACTGTAGCAATTTACATGTTTTAAGGGGCAGCAAGCTCTAGAATGTGACACTTTTTCAAATAGCAAAGAATGGGAAGTTTCTGACCAGTCTGTCAATCTTGCTTTTTCTGTTTCTCTTGATTTCCCTAACAGATCCTCCAAGAGTTAGAATATGGTCCTTCTGTGGATTGGTGGGCTCTGGGGGTTCTTATGTATGAAATGATGGCTGGTCAACCTCCCTTTGAAGCTGATAATGAAGATGATCTTTTTGAATCCATTCTTCATGACGATGTGTTATATCCAGTGTGGCTTAGCAAAGAAGCTGTTAGCATTTTGAAAGCTGTAAGTTGGGCTATCTCTCTTTTTTTCCCCTACTTAAAATTGAATTTTCCTGCAGTAGTTTAAGAACAACCACCACTGGGAGTTCAACTACAGTTCAAAGTGCCACTGTCAGTATAATGGGGTCTGGGATGAATTACACTTCTTGTGGGAAAGGGACAAGAAGTTTGTGTTCCTTGCAGTTGTATACTGTATAAATGTATGCTCTTGAGAGTCACATTTCAGGAAGGAAAAAAAACTCTCAAGCAATCTGAGCTGTCTTACGGGTCTGATATAGCACACTGTGCGGCTGCGTTAGTGGGGAAAAGATTATGTAATTAAAGAAACACTGTCTATGTGCTTTTGTTAGGCCCCTATCCAGAACATACTGAGCATTCTCACGGTCCAATCCTAAACTGGTTTATTTGGAAGAAAGCCACAATGGGTTGGATTCATACTAATGTTGCCATGGGCACAAGAATTTCCACCCACAGGCACAATTTTCCTGCCTCTCCCCTCTTGCAGCAGCCTAATATGCTCCTCCACCATATTCTTGATTATTCTGTTATTTAATAATAACATTAAAAGGTCATATTCAGTGCCATTAAACTGTGGTCAGTAATTTGGCACACAGTATTCCATCCTACTTGTGAAAAGAGGAAATGATTCTTCATGGAATATTCTTCATACACTAGTATCTGGAGGTCTCTCAATCTATCACAAGCATGCTTGTAAAAATATTATAAATTTAAAATGTGTATGTTTAAACAAAATGTTTATTAAATTAAAATTACATGCACACTGCTTCAAATCTATACAGCTAATTCTCAACCTGATCCTAGAGTGTGGATCAAAAAATCCGTGTTTCTGCGGCAGGGATGGATGGGAGATTTTCCCACAAACTTGGGGAGGTTCCTGGTTTGCAGAAAAAACTGATACTAAAAAATGGTACCATTAGACCTCCTGAAAATCTTAGAAGCAATGTCTGTAACTTACCCAAAGATCTCAGGAGCCATTTTGGAGCTTGCTAGGCAACTGACTATGGCTTGATTAGTGTGGGTGGGAGACTGAAAAGGGGAAGATGGAAGGGGGAGAGTAAGGGAGGTAAGCTAAAGAGGGAGAAAGCCGAAACGAAAGGTTGGTGGGACAGAAGAAAATGGAGATCCTGCAGGAGAAGGGGAGGCAGGAAAGCCAAAGGTAGGGGGAGACAGCTAAAGGTGTGTGGGTGGGGGAGTGGGAAGGAGAGCAATGCAGAGAAAGGAAAGAGACTAAGGGAGTTGCCAGGAAGAGGGAAAGAGGGAAAGTGGAAATGCTGAGGGGAAATACAGGGGAAATGAGATCCTCCACCAACCATATTGGTGTATTGTAAATTTACACTAACCCAAACTGGTATTAGTTTCTTGGCTCCTTACAAGGGCTCTTGGGAACTCTGGTTCTTTGGAGTTGCTGAGGATTCGCTCTCAAAGATTTCCAGCCCTCTTACAAAGTTGCAGTCAACAGTTGTTGACTTTGTAAGAGCTTTGTGTCCTTGACACACGTTCAACTGGACTGGAGCCCTAGTTTAAATTTTATCAAGGTTTAGGAATTTACTGCTGCTAACATTTGAAGCAACCCTAACTCCATTGATTTCATTGAGGGGGAACATCCACATATTGTTTTAGATCTTAATCATGATTCAGCTGAGATCAATAGAGTTACATCATATGGGAAGAATCCTGCTGTAGTGCATTTAGCCCTTCCTCCAATAAAGAGCCACTTTTTGCTATAGTTTCAGGCTTAGCTCAGTGTTTGAAACTTGTGCCCTTCATCTTGTACTTCTGTTGAATTCAGTTAACAGGAGGGCAGGAAGACCAGAGGAAATGTAGGGGCGTCTGTGTACTTGACTGCCAAATATTAACAAGGGATTAGCTTTGGAACGTTTGGTTTCCTCACATTGTATTCTTAAACGTAGATTTTGTTCTTCAGGCACTGTAAATCAGAGCTCTACCAAGATTTTAAAAATGCAGTTTTAAGTAGCTTTTGCAGAATGTTTGTTTTCTGTTCAACCTTATTTTCTGTGCAGTATTTTGCAAATTTGCAAATCGTCTTAAAATTTCTCTTTCTAAAACAAAAACAAAGCTAAAATCCTTTCAGTCTTCCTATTAATTTCAGATTTTTATTGTCAGCCTTGAAGATCAAGGCTTGTTACAGCCTTGAAGGTCAGGAAGTATGTTATTAAAATGACTAAACTTAAGAACAAAAGAACATAAGAAGAGTCCTGCTGGATCAGACCAATGGTCCATCTAGTCCCCCATCCTGTCTCACACAGTTGCTAACCAGTTCTTCTGTACAGCCAACAACAGGACATAGAGGCCAAGTCCTTCATAAGAACATCAGAAGAGCCCTGCTGGATCAGAGCAGTGGTCCATCCAGTGCCTCTGAATGTGGTGGTTCCCCTCAGTAACCATGGCTAGTAGCCACTGATAGACCTGTCTTCCATGAATCTATCTAATTCCCTTTTAAAGCTGTTTATTCCTGTGGCAGTAAATTCCATATCTTAATCACTCTCAAAGTAGTATTTCCTTTTGTCTGTCTTGAACCTAATGCCCTTCAGTTTCTTTGGATGCCCTTGAGATCTAGTATTTTGGGAGAGGGAGAAAAATTTACCTTTGTCAACTCTCTCCACCCCATGCACAATTTTATAAACTTCTGTCATGTGCCCCCTTGGGCATCTCTTTTCTTAATTGAAAAGTCCTCAACTTTTCAGTCTTTCCTCATAGGGAAGTTGCTCCAACCCCCTCATCATCTTGGTTGCCCTCCTCTGTACTTTCTCCAGCAATGCAGCATCCGTTTGGAGATATGGTGACCAGAACTGTGCACAGTATTCCAAATGAGACTGCACCATAGATCTATACAGGGGCATTACAATATTGGCCATTTTATTCTCAATCCCTTCTGTAATAATCCCTAACATAGAGTTTGCCCTTTTCACCACAGCGGCACAATGGGTTGACACTTTCATTGAACTATCCACTACGGACCCCCAAGATTCTTTCCCTTCTCAGTCTCAGCAAGTTCAGACTCCATTAGCCTATACCTGAAGTTGGGATTTTTTTTGTCCCAGTGTGCATCACCGTACACTTACCAAGACTGAACTTCATTTGCCACATTGTCGCCCCACTCACTCAGTTTGTGAAGGTCCTCTTGGAGCTCTTCACAGCCAGCCTTGGTTTTCACCCTCCTGAATAATTTTGTGTCATCTACAAACTTGACCACTACACCACTCAACCCTAGTTCCAGATCATTTATGAATAAATAGTCCCAGCCCCAATACCAATCCTTGTGGGACCCCACTGCTTATTTTTCATAACTGTCCTAGAATTTTTTGGGGGAAATTAAGCTTTAGGTTTGATTAATGTCAGAGCACGTGTATTGCCTGCAAAAGACTCCAGATTCAAATCCTCAGTATCAGCAACTTAAGTATCTTAGATAGCTGAACTATAAAAGTTCCCCATCTCTGGCCCTAAAGAGACATTGTACATCTACTACCAAGAGTAGACAGCAGTAGGCTCAATGAAGCATGACGGCTTCAAAAGGGAATTAGATAAGCATATGGAGCAGAGGTCCATCAGTGGCTATTAGCCACAAGGTATAGATAGGGGCTCTGGGGCAAGTGATGCTCTGTCTTCTTGGTGCTGGGGGGGTCAACAGTGGGAGGGCTTCTAATGTCCTGGCCCCACTGGTGGACCTCCTGATGGCACTGGTATTTCTGGCCACTGTGTGACACAGAGTGTTGGACTGGATGGGCCTTTGGCCTGATCCAACATTGGTGTCTCTTATGTTCTTATGTTCTTATGATCTGGCTCAACATAAGTTAGCTTTATATGGTTGCATGTGTTAACTGTATTAAAGGAACTTGTGCAGTGGGCTTTTCCCTTAGCAAGCCTCACAGGCAGATGGCATCACCCTGAGTCAGGTATAATATTCATCATAGTGTTTGGCAGAAAGAATGGAATGGTAGTTTGTCTTCAGGTCTCTCTGTGTGTGTGTCAGTTGTGAATGCAATAAACAAATGTTTGAAAACACATGCATCCTACTGCTATACTCATCAGACAACTGGAAACATTTGTACTCAATTGCTGTGTAATGTGGGAAATTATCTTATTTGGCCTGAGAAAGACTCTGGAACCTTGAGTATGTATTCTTAGCTAAGTAGTCAGATAAACACAGGTTCTTATTTGCTTGCAGACTGCAATGACAAGGCAGCAAGGAGCACCAAAAATACCACCCTTCAGGGAAGCATGTCCTTCAGCCGAATACCTTGGAAGGCCTTCCTTCCTCTTCCAGAACCTTGGCCTACAGCTCTTTAACAACCTCTTTGGTACAATTTACCACCAGTTAATCAGTGTCTGGTAATTAATATCCAGTAAATTTGTGTTTCCTCTGTAGTTCATGACAAAGAATCCAAATAAACGACTTGGTTGTGTGGCATCACAGAATGGCGAGGATGCCATTAAACAGCACGCATTCTTCAAGGAAATTGACTGGGTTCTTCTAGAACAACGGAAAATCAAACCACCCTTCAAACCTCGTATTGTAAGTAGCAATCTGAATCTGAGCGTGTGTGAGTGAGAGAGAGAAAACTTGCCTGAAAATGTCAGTGGTGACTTCCTTTATGCTATTGAAACTGTAATATTATTACAGAACTGAAAAAATCAAAGTAGCAAAAAATAGGCAGTGTGCCAGAAATAGTAAGGCTAATGGGTACGTCAGAGGTGAGTCTCAGAGTCATGAGTACAAGCTCAAGAACTCATTTTTATGACAAACTCAAGAACTCATTGAATCCTCTTTGCTCCAAGTGAGTTCTCACATGGTCACTACTGTTATCATTTGAAAGCCTCACCATATAAAACTGTACAGTTTTAAAGGGATCAGGCATCCCTGACCATCACCTTTTATCATGCCATGAGAGGAAAAACAGCTCGTTATATGTTGTGCCTCACTCATCAAGCATTCATCTAAATGTGGGAATATACCTTCAATATCTAAGGATATCTGTGGCTGAAAACTATTCCTCATGCTGGAATATGCATTCTTTCCAAATATAAGGCAGTAGTCTTTGAATAATGGAACCATTGGACTGTATGCTTTGAGGACCATGTTCCTGAGTTGTAGTATATACATTATTCATAAAAATTAATAGGAAGTCAAAAAGAATTCATAGTGGTCCACTTGAAGGGCGCATATTTGGAATACTTCGATGTGTGTTAAACTGGCTTATCTATTGGCAAACCATCCAAATCCAAGCAAAAACTTTTCAGATTTCATTATTCTCCTGTCAATTTAAATTGTCCTTATTTCAACTTTAATTTATCTAGTGGCAGTTTATCAGTTTTGTGGAACCTGGTGTTTAGACGTCATGCCCCAATATCCTTTTCCCCATAGAGCTGCCAATTGTGCAGATGATTACATTTTGTTCTTTTTTTTAAAAAATGAGTTTTCGAATACTTTGTTCTTCTTTGAGTTAGTTCTTCTTTGTTGCACTGCTGGTGGGGTTTTTTCCTTGTTAACTGATGAAGATTCTAAATTAGAGCAGTAATGATTTCAGCTCATAGGGCTATGAAAACAGAAGTCCACTAGAGGCTTTTTGTAGACCAGTGCTACAATCCGTCTTTCTGTTTCTGTTGAGTATGAGTATCTCTGGTGATGAAGTATATGTCCATCTGTTCTTAAAAAGAATATGCAGTTGCTCTAATAGATGTAACCTGAAAATATTCCAGGTTTTAAAAAATATATTTTTGCTTCCATCATTCCTTACCTTAGGGCTGGCTGATGCATCATTTTGACTGTGTCATGAAGTAATGACTTGCGTGTAACAATGAGATTAATCACCGCAGATAGAACTTTTAATATTTCCCTGTGTACAGCACATTAGAGGCAGTTCTCACTTTCCGTTGACAGCCAACAACTGCAGAGTAATCGAATGACGAGAGAAGTTAAGTCTGAAGACAGACTGTTTTGAATGGGGTGGAAGGAGTTTGAACCCACATTCTGGAACATGTTGTTATAGCAGTGGCTGTGTATTTCAACCACTTTCACTGTACTTAAAGCATTATGTTTGTGTTCAGCCTCAATCATGTTGCTGCGTTCTCACCACATTTCTTGAACAATCAACATTCAGTGTTTTCCATCTGTTATTTACATACTGTATTCTTCACACTTGGTTTTATTTTACCAGTTGGTGTCATTTGATTATAAGCAAAACTGTATCCTGTATTGGTGGTTGTTCTATTCTAACTCTCTCTTGTGCCTAAGTTTGTCAGAAACGTTTTGGTAAAAAGAGCAACAGGAGTTGAATGCAGAGAGAACTCACTTGTTTTGCTCTGTAATTGTTTTCTATTTTTCCTATACCAGATGATGATGAGGCATGTCATTTCCTGGCACTTATCCAAAAATTCTTTCCCCTCTAGCATGATTTCTCGTTCTTGTTCACTTGGTAAACTTAGTCAAGGTTGGCACGGATTCCAGCCTTGCCAGGCAGGAGGGAAATAGTGCATGAAGTTGAAAGTGCAACACTTCTGTACATTTGTCTGTTGCTTCAACATCCTGCACCTTGAATGGTTGGACACAGAAGTGTCTGTGTACTTCCTCCACAGCCATGGGAGATCTCTCTGGTGACAGAAACTACTGTACACTGTTGTCTGCCTCTACTGGACTTGATCAGCACCTTAATTCCAGTCCAAAAAAGTAAACCAATACACTGGAGCACACTTTTGCTTCCCACAACCCTAATAACTGTTTCTTCAGGATCCATGCTGGCTTCTTGCTCTCCATATTTATATCCATATCCATATCAATATCCATATGGGGTGGTGTATTTGATCACTACCCGCCACACAATATTCTCTTTCATTACTCCTTCAAGAACTAGGAGAACCCATAAATGACTTTCTGAGAAAGGAAAGGAAGTAACAGATACTTTAGGGTCTTACAGTGAGATGGAACAGGATGGAAAGCCGGTGTCCCTGAAAATACCAGTGTGGTATAGTGGTTAGATTGTTGGGAAGAGACCAGGTCATTCAGCCTATGTTCTATGGGCCATCCAGTCTCTGTTTGAACTATTTCATGGAATTGTTGTGATAGATTGTTGGGAAGAGACCAGGTCATTCAACCGATGTTCTATGGGCCATCCAGTCTCTGAACTATTTCATGGAATTGTTGTGGGATTAAAATGAAGAAGGGGAGAACTCTGTATGCTACTCTGAGCTCCCTGGAGGAAGGATGAGGTTTAAAAAGACAGAACATGAATTCTTCAACCACCACTCTGTTCAGTTTGTCTGAGTGTTGTTCCACATAAAGCACACTAAAAACAACAGTTGTATGGAATATCTGTCTGGAAGTGAAGACAAGGTTGTTTATTTGAAACTCTTGAACAGGTGGCCTTGGATTGATATAAGTGATACGAGGTCCCACAGTTGTTGTAGGCCTTTTTCACCAGCCATCTTTCCTATCCAGGTTGATGCTCATAGGTCAAGCACAGATGTCATTGTATCTTCTACATCCAATTACACTGTTTCAAGATGTTCTTCTTTTCTTTCCCAGCCACTGATAATCATGGGGCACAATCAGTCCTGTCATGTGGTCCTGCAGTCTTGGGCTCTAATCCCAAAGAGTTAGTTGTCCTTAAGTTGGGACAAAAAGTCACAACTAGCTGAAAGTCCTGCGAATTTTGATAGAGTATAAGTTGCTTTTTGTGGGTCAGGCATTTGCTCTTCATCGCCCCCAGGTTCCCTACCCTCTCATCAACCAGGCACTTCAGGGCCTCAAGTAGTAGGGTATACCAATCATAAGATTCCACCTCAGTGTTTGAATTGCATTTGTCTTTGCCAGCTATTGATAGATACTAGTGAAATGAACCGCATATATTTAAAAGATGTGTTCCCTTTGTATTCATTGGTAAGTGGTTTTTCATGGATCTTGTAATAATTGAATGAAGTCCTCTTTCTTCAAATTCTCAGAGCCATTTGGCTTTGAAACAAAGGTGGACCTTACTTGCCTTGCTAGTAACATTTTAACTCTTAACCACTCAAAAATTGAAGACCAGGAAGTCCAAGATATTCTTTTTTCCCCATAAAGTTAGTTTCAGGTGGGTAGCGGTGTTAGTCTGTAATAGCAGAACAACATTCAAGTCCAATAGCACCTTAAATGACCAACCACATTTTCCTGGGTATAAGCTGTCATGAGTTAAAGCTCATTTCATCTTTCCTTAACATTGTTCAAAAGTTTAGCTTTGACATGCACTTCTTAAAAAAAAAAGAAATAATCTTATTTTTAAAATAATATCTTTTAGTAGAGAATTGCTTTCTTTGTATTATGTAACTTCAGATTTTCCTGATATAGACTATTCGGATAGTGTCAGATTATTACTAAATATTTAGGTGTCTTAGAAAAGAGTCTTAAAACAGCTTACATGCCATGTTAATGCTATTTAAACTTTCTGGGACTCTTGTTCTTGACAGTACAGTTGTGATGGTGTAAGTGGGGCCAAGTCTTGAGCTTGCATGTAATGTATGTACTAGGCTGGGCTATGTTTTCTCAGACTCATCAGCTGCTATGTGGAGAGAAGGAGAAGTCAAAAGCAGAGAGGCAGCAAGCTGAAGGGGCTCTGTAGCCATCAAGAGCAGAGAGTCTCCTACTTCCAGTTTGGTGTAGTGGTTAAGTGCGCGGACTCTAATCTGGGAGAACCAGGTTTGATTCCCCACTCCTCCATTTGCTGCTGCTGGATGACCTTGGGCAAGCTATAGTTCTATCAGAGCTGTCCTTGAAAGAGCAGTTCTCTCAGAGCTCTCTCGGCCCCACCTACCTCACAGGGTGTCTGTTGTGGGGAGGGGAAAGGAGTTCGTAAGCTGCTCGGAGACCTCCTCCTCCTCCTCCTTCTTTGGACCAGCAAACAAGCCTGATATCAAAACTTTTTGCTCTCATGTAGGGCTGTCAACAGGCCCAGAGAAAAATGTCTTGTCTCCTTAATAAAAGTCTAATATGTGGAAATGGACAGTTGAAGCTGTTCAAGGCATGGAGGTAAAGAAAGCCACCTGGCCAATAACATCCCATTAAGCTTCTATTAAAGAGACAGGACTTGGGTATTTGACAATTCTACTCTCATGAAGTGCCACATCATTCACATGTAAAGAGGATTCTTTGCTGGTACAGTTGGTCTTCCTGCAGTTTCCCTACTTAGGCCTCTGCCACACGGCAAGGAAAACACAGGGAAAAGAGCGGCTTTTAAAAGCCACACCAAAGTTGAGATGCCGCGGCAGGATCCCACGGATCCCCTGAGCCATGGCGCGGTGCTCCCCGGCACGATCAGATGCCAGGGAGGAAGAGTCGGATGGGAGGGGGAGGCTGCCGGGGGCCGGGATGCGCCGGCGCAAGGACGCGCCGGCCGATCCCACGGCCCAGTTTGAGGTGCTCTACTCGAAAGAACCACCTAGGTAGGTGGTTCTTTTTTAGTGCGGGTTTTTGGCGGGAGGGACGGATCGGGGGCGGGCAGGCAACGATTCCCAGATGTTGCCGTGGGATCGCGCCCATTTGCTCCG